AAATCTTAATTAAATTATTTATATTCAAATATATGATAGAATTTAAAACATATTTTAATATATTTCACGTCAACATATTCTCACATGAACGGTCCAAAATTTTCAACTAAAGGCTTGAGTCACGCTGGCGTGAGAAACACCTATTAGTACGCATAGACTATTTTAACATATGTGTCCAATAGACTTTCAACAAGCAATACGGACGATCACTATGGACACCGACTGCTATTAATTCTTTCGTATTTAAAATTTTTAATGCAAAATATGTAACTCGTGGCTTGAAAATTGCAAACGGATTAGAGAATTTCAGAGTAAAAAGCGCAATGAAATATTTAATCATCAATGCCGGATTTAAGGAGAAATTATTCTATGTTGAGAAACTATTTTATGCGGATACTGGATGGTCTGGAGGTTAATTAGAACGTTCTGTATCACCTGGTACACAGTGGTATCCAGCACTGATTGGATTCCGAACGACATCCAGTATCCACACAGAATAATTATTCGGATTTAAGGTTGCACGTAGGTGAAAAAAAGCCCAGATTTTTAATTTTTATTTTTTATTTTAAAAAAATAAAATCATGAGAATTATAAGAGTATTGTAATAATTAAATAAAAGTATATAAAAAAAATGAAAAACCAATAAGAAAATGAAATGAATAGAATAAAAAAAAGAAAAGAGTATTATGTGGATGTTCTCAAGTGAGAGATGAGAGAAAAGATTAAGGCTCACAAACTAGTTGGACTGTAAATTGAGTCAAGTCGAGACGAGTATTTGTCTAGTCGAATTAAATTTATTTAATTTTTATTGAGCTCGAGCTTGACTGGGGCTAGGCTCATTAAAAAATTTATATCGACTGCTCGAGCTCGTTTGAAAAGCTCAAACTTATTTTGATTGCTGAACTTGATTATTTATAAGCTCATTAACGAGTAGATTGAGCTCGAGCCGGTTCAACTCACTTACACTTATAGTCCGAAGATAACTAAAATAATCGAAGGTAATGACATATATCCAAATCCAGAATGAAATTATTTAAAAATAATAATAATAAAGGAAATAATCACCATCACGTATTTGGTTGTGTGGCACAGTGGTGAAAAGGAGAAATTATGCTCCGCGTGACTAACAATCTTATGGTCTGGAAGTGATTTTATAAACAAAGTTTCGGATGAGATTCATAAACAGGAAACTTAATTGGCCTAAGAACATGCACTGCATGTGAAACTTATTAATGTCTCCCCGTTGATTCAGGCCGGTTAATTATTAGCAGTAAAAAAAAAAAGAAGGTATTTATGAATTTCCTGTGGGCAGAATCATGAAATGGTCAAAAGATCAACAAGTTGGTTAAATGAGAGAATAACGCTGAATATCTTCATTCAAACACAGATGTTTCTATTTAGTTTTGGAGATTGAGTCAAAACCCGCCGAGCTTTAGGATGGTTGGTGGGCGAGCACGGTCGGGAACTCCCCATCCCTGGTTCGAATCCCCTCTACTACGGCCTCACCTCTTTAGTGGGGCAAAGCAAGTGTGGGTCTGGTGCTAGTGGATGACCTCGCTAGGTTCTGCCGAGGGATTAATTACGCCGCCAAGCGCTCCAGTGGCTGCGGGTAGATACCCCGTTCAAACACGGTTGTTTCTATTAGGTTTTTGAGAGTGAATCAAAACTCATTGAGGTTAAGGGTGGTTGGTGGGCGAGCACGGTTGGGAACTTCTCATTAATGGTTCGAATCCCCTCTACTGCGTCCTCGCCTCTTCAGTTGGGCAAAGCAAGTGTGAGCCCGATGCCAGTGGGTGGCCTCGCTAGATTTCACCGATGAATTAATTACGCCGCCAAACGCTCCCTTTGAAATGACTGCGAGTAGATACCCCCATTCCCACCCAAAAAAAAAGTGAATCAAACGGATTCATGTATAGTAAGGAAGCTAACTAATATGTTTTTAATTAATGATAATAAAAATACTAATAAAAATATACTTATTGATACGTTCTCAAAAATTATCTTGATCAAACACAATTCTCAAAGTAAAATCAAGTTGGAAACTTCAAAAATTAATTTGGAGACCATTTGAGCTCCAATTTCAGAAAACATACCGTCGACTAAACGTCTCAGAAATATGAACGCAACGACACTAAATTCGACTCAATCCAAGCTCAAATGAGACCAAATTAAAGACTAGAAGCGCATTTGGAAGGTTCAAATCATAATTTGGATTACCAAACTGTTATCAAATGTGGCAAGCTTATAATTGAATTGAGCGGCTCGACGAGACGAATCAAACGAGTTCAAGATCGTCAAAATCTAATGTCATTAAGACATTCAAATCTTCAATAAACGCACCATAATCAAGGGATTCAACATCAGCCGCCGTCCATTCAAACCACTCCCAACTTGCCCCTGATCTCCTACTTTTTTACTGGTCATGCCACTCACAAAAAACTATAAATAGACCCCTCATTTATCATACGAAAGACCTCTAGGGGGGCGCAAGCAAGAAGATAAGGAAGAGAGCTCTCTTGCCACTAGACTCTTCCTCGACCATCGTCGGACTTCCACACGGCAGCCTACCGATGCTGGAGTTTTACCCGAATGCTAACTAACATAGGAGTTCTGTCGAGCCGCCAACTAACGCCAGAGTTCTGCCCGGCCGATGACTGAAGCCGGAGTTTTTCACAGCCGCTGACGGACACCAAAATTCTGCCCGACCGCCAATTGACGCCAGACTTCTACCCAACTACCGACTTTCGACGAACTTCTACCCAACGCTGAAGTTCCACCCGTCGCCAAACTTCTTCCCATCACCGGACTTTCAATTGACTTCTACCCTACATCATACTTCCACCCGTTGCCGAATTTCTACCCAATGCCAAACATCCGCCCAACACCGAAATTTTGCCCGTCATTGGACTTTCAGACTTGTACCCAATTCCAGACATCCGCCCTTCATCGGATTTCTACCAGACACCGTACTTCTACCTATCGCCGGACTCGTCAAACTTATACCTGACGTCGAACTTCCATCCATCATCAAACTTCCGACCTCTATTGCCAGCTGACTACCGTCCTTATGATCTCATTCATTAGGCAACAATCTTTCTAACTACTATCGCTTGCCGCGACTATGGTCCTTCCGACATCCGTTGTCAGATAACGATCTTTCTGGCCACTATCACCCGTCGACTACGGTCCTTCCGACCTCCATAACCAGACTACGGTCTTTCCAACGTCAGTCACCTGCCAACTATGGTTCTACCGACCAAACATATGTATCAATGGTTATTCTTTCAAGTCACATCATGTAACACACGATATATGATGTATATTTGCTACATCAAGCTAAGACCTTCTCTCAAGAAAGGGCCTCATTTGTACTCGACTGCAAATAATCGTGGATTCATTCAAATTGGGCAAGGACCTGTGGTTTTTCCCCTTTTTTAGGATTTTCAACGTACAAATCTTGGTGTCTCTTATGAATGTTGCACCTGGATCTTTGTACAAAGTTAAGATGTTAAACTTTATATTTATCTACCGTCGTGAATATTTCAGGACGCAACACTTATAATACCAGAGATAATTTATTATTTATATCTATTAACTAAGAAAATTTAATAATTATGAAAAGTATCCCGTTTAAACTGTAATTAAGATATTTCTTGGCTAATTAATACTTTTACCCTATACACTGTAAAGAAAAATTCGTAAGCACTGACATCCGATTCCGTCACAATTTGCATGCAACAGTTGCATCATCATCGTCTATGATTGCAAACAGTGGCAAACCTTGTTGCCCATTCATTTATCCCACCTCCCAAAATTATTGTATTTTACGGAAAGTTCAGTAGCATTAAAATAATAAAAAATCCAAAAAATAAAATAATTTAATTTTAAGTATTTAAATTTTAATTATATTTAATTATCCGTCATATAAATTTTCAGCTCACACGCAAAGCGTGTGGGTCTGAGTTGTCTCTGTATGTATATAATTCTTGGAGCCATCGAACGGCCTCCCCTGCTTCAATTTTCTTTCTATGTGTTTTTTGGTCCGAGATGGAGCTGACGCTGAGCCTTGGAGAGTCGACGGAGAAGGCTTTGGAAGAGGTCGCCGGAGATGGCGGCGATAGGCAGAGCGGATTTTGCATGGGGTTAGGATTTGCGCAAGAAAGGAGAGTAGAAGTGGGAGAAGAGAGCAGAGGAGGATATGAAGGGTGGTTAAAGGTGGAAGAAGGGGGGTGGTCTGTTGATCCACCGGTGCAGCTTAACCTGCTCCCTCTCGCACCTATCCCTCGCCTGGACTCAACGCAACTGGCACTTCCATGGTCGACGGAAGACAGTAAGAAAAAAAATTACTTTTTTTTAACCAAAAAGCATATTTATCTTACATTTGTATATGGATTTGGGTAAAAGCAGTGAATTTGGAGACTCCGCCGGTGGAAGAAGAAGATGAACGGGCAGCGATATCGTCGTCGCCGATCAGAATGGTCTCCTCCTTACATATGAACTTTGCCAGCGGCGGCGGCGGAGTTGCAGTGGAGAGGGCTTCGTCAAGAGGAAGCGACGAGGAGGAGAACGACAAAGGAAGGAAAAAGCTTCGGCTTTCCAAGGAGCAATCCGCCTTTCTTGAGGAGAGTTTTAAAGAGCAGAACACACTCAACCCGGTATGCTGATCGAAGTTAAATGATGAATATACAGTTTCTTTTGCTCTATTAGAGTTTCTGAAACCTAATAAGACTTTTTTTTTTCTTTTCTTTTTTTGTTACAGAAGCTCAAGTTTGTTCTTGCCAAACAGCTCAATCTTCGTCCTCGGCAGATAGAAGTTTGGTTTCAGAACCGCCGAGCAAGGTAACCAAACTTGCTATATATATATATAAAGATTTTGAGCACCTTATAATAAAGTGTGGATTAATGGTGCAAAGAAATTATTCATAGATACCAAATATAATTTTATACAAATAATAAGATGATTAAATTTTGTATTTAGAAGATAATGTTTAAGCTGGTAGTTGTTTTGTAATCAATAAATATTTTTTTAAAAAATATTGTTAGAGAGTTTAGAACAATTTAAGATTAAAATTGGGCATGGTCGATGCGTCTTAGAGAAGATCCTAAAGTTATTTTTAGTTTAAGGTAGTTCAAGATTCAATACTTTTTGGACTCAAATCAACTCCAAATTATGATATGATTAACATAAAATAAGTGAACAATATATACATTAATTTCTTGATTTTCTTTTCTTTCAAATAAGTCAATAAAAGCACTAAAAGACCAATTCAGCTAGCTTGTTATATTAGAATGAATTGATCTAATCCATTAATTTATCATGATTATAAGATTTTTAATATGTGTGATGCTTTTAATCAATATCTTTAAATTTAATATTGAGAGTCGTTATTTGATCTCTATTTTTATCTCAATTTATAGGTTACATTTGATTCATTAATAAGCTAAAACAGTCTTAATAAAGGTTATAATAGGATAATTAATTGTTGGGTCAACAAGGGCTTCAATCATAAGAGTGAGTATCTGTCAATGGGATAAAATAATTGAGGTTAGCAAACTTAGTGCACATTCTTCACTTTAGTTAAATTTGTGTAACATGATGATATTAGATATCTAGTTTGAATATTATGCATCCTCGATGCAACTCACCTTTAGCAGCTTCTTAACTTCATAGTGAATAGGCTATGCTAAAGTTATGGAAAGTTGAGAGATTCTATGTTTGATTAGTCTGGTTGACTTGTTAATATTCAAGTATTAACATGAAGCATTTATTATGACTATGATAACTCAATTGTTAATCGAGTAAACACATTGCTATTCAACTATAAATACTTGATAACTTAGACGTCTTGGTTCTTCAAATTTAAATAAGTGTTAATAAGCAAATGATGATTAGGATCATCAAGAAATTAAGACATCCACTTCTATTATTACTTTAAGGATAGCGTCTCTTTGCATCTCAACTTATAGAACTTCTTGAATGGCTCCAACCAACTTTAGATAGCACACTTGAGATAATAGGAATCTCCTTTACAACTCTGAAGTGTTTAATAGATATTGATTGATATCATTTTTTGAATTCATATTATTGATTATGGTAAAGTATATCATAATTGTTTATTGAAGGTCTCCCTCTAGGTGATTAGTAGCATGATCAGGAAAGTTAGGTGTAAAAGGGATCAACATTGGGAGACAACTTATAATAGGGATCAACATTCATCCAATCCAAAATATGTTCAATGATGATGTTTACAAAAGTCTTTGAATCAATAAAAAATGTTGGCAATCTAATTGGTGCTAATCAGAGTAGCAACAATGATTGCATCATTATATGGATTATAAATTTGTATCCATTTAGACTCAATTAAGGTGGAAACTACTTTGATAGAAGAAAAACTAGATGCATTATGAACCTTTCTTGACTAGACACACTTGAGATCAGATTGCCACGACACCTCAACCTAGACTCCTCCAAGAGTAATTAGGATAATTTTTTATGATATGAATGGTTTGTGCTTGGATTGGCTTAATCTTACTGTCTTCCATCAAAACTATATCTAGACATCATTTTGGGTTAACATGGACAAACTTTTTTTTGCTTTCTTTTGCTAATTAACTAGCTATTTAATGAGGCTTTAAATGTGGTGACAATTCTTCATATCCCCATAATTTTATAAAAGATATAGAATTTAAATTTATCAACAACAAACATTATATTGTGTATTACTGGTAGTTGGTGAAAAGTACCTCATATCATGAATGACATCTATTTTCTTTGCTAGTGACATTAAGAGACAACTACTTTGATGAAGAGGGGATATTTCTCTTTTAAATAGGTCATATGATGTCAACTATATCTAATGCTTATTATGGTAAAAAAATGTATGATGTGCCTTCTCAATTAACTTATCTTCGTTACAGTGTAGCTTAATTATTATATTGATCTCAAAGATCTCATCGAGAATTTTATGAGCATTCAAAACAAAAAGACTTGGGGACTCATAGTCACTCAATTGTATTCTTCCATATATGATTATTAGCTAACTCCAACAATTTGACCAATGTTTTTGACAATTATATATTTGGATCATGGCAAAATGAACCATTTTCAAGCCTTGGGTGAGAATCACTTGAATGATAATGGGCTTTTAGTCTTGGAAAACTAATTTATCTCATTAAAAATGAGTGATAAAATGTAAGAGTGACTCAATCAACCTTTTTTTCTCATGCTTAGATGAGGTTGAGAGTTTTTAATTAAATAACTTATTGAATTCTAGCAATCTAAATGATAAATTTTCAGTTGACATTATTCTTTTGAAGTGATATAGCTCGAAGGAAATTGAAAGAACCATCATGCTACTGGTGCCTCCTTAAAAGGACCAAAGAGTATTTAACTTTTCTTCACATTGTTAACACCAAGAAGGGAAATTGCTGACTTGAACTAGCGCTATAATCGGTGGAATCATATTTAGTACCCTTATATGATTTGAGCTTTGGCAGACATCTTCAATGGTGGTTGAACCCAAAGCTTTTGCATGGATGGAAGATTTATTGGCTTAGTCTCATGCTTGAAAGTTAGTCTGGAAAAGGATTCTTGATAGTACTCATTGGGGATATATGATTCCAATCTTAAAATAGAATGATAACAATATCCTTTTGAGTCAAGTGATGATGGTACCTAGTGGGGACAATTGATTCTCATACATGAGAGGAAAGAGGAATAGAAGTGGCTTATATAAATTGCTCACATATATTCTAGATCAAACTTGTTAAATGATCCTCGATTTATTACAATTAATTTGATGTAAAAAAATTATGAAGAAACCTTTCATGATTATCAGGACAATTCAAGTTCATGGTACTTGTCTTCAACATAATATACATTCATTGCATCAAAGAGGATACTAGTCCAAAGTTTTCCATTGAGAATAGCTTAGACCTTACTAAGGAATTGAATCATATTTGGTTGTAAAACCAAAAAGAGAAAATTTTGATTTCAAAGAACCTCTTAAAGAATTAGTTTACAAAGAACCAAACCAAATCCCTTCAATTAGACAAAAGTGAAGGAGTCAAATCAAGTTAAAGAAAAATAATACAAAGAAGAAAAGATTCGCATGATTTCATATGTCCATACTTAACCTATGTCATCTTGTTTAGGAGTGGAGTTGCGGTCCAAAGTTATAGAATTGGCAACTTGATTTCATTACGTTAAATAGAATAGGAAAAACTAATTTTAACTAATTCTATAGCAAACAAGTTCACATGATAAGTTAGTAGTAGCACTGAGCAAATAAGTAATTTGTAGTTGCAGTTAAGTAGCTTTAGATACTCTTAACAAGTACACCATACAAGTTTCGCAATTCGAAATCTCTTTTTGGTTGACAAGTTCTTTGGCGAATTAACATGACAAATTTGTATTCCTTTCAAACAAATACTCTTAATGATTGAGTGGGCAACTTCTAGAGTCATAGTAGGCAGCTCGTAGGTGAGTTTTGAGCTAAGGTACTAAGCCAATATAACATTCAATGGGACTTGGTTCATATCCACATCATGATTGAATTAATCTAACCCAAATAAATATATGTATACAAGCTTATTATAACTCCCTTGTTAATTATATAAAACAAAATTTTCAATATAATTTCATGAAATAAACTTGTAGTTTATTCAATTTTTTTATATGCTTATAATAAATTATTTAATACTATATTTCATTTTTACATCAGAGGCCCCACAATTATTTTACTTTTCAAACATATTATTATTCACTGATAACAACTTATCAAAAAAATATCTTTTCTTGTGCTGTTTTTCTCTCCTCTCACATGAAAGAACGTTCATTCGGTTGATTTTTACCACCATTGTAAGAATGATATTGTTTGAATATGGACCACTTAGTTTTCCAAAAAAAAAAAAAAATCATTTTCTTAATATCTTTCATAAAAAATAAAAACACCAATCATTCATATGAGCCTAAGAAAAAAAATAGAGACTAAGGGTCTATTTTGAAAAAAATTTATAATTTTTTTTTTCAAAAATAATCGCAGTTGTGCTTATTTATAATTTTTTCTTATTTTAACGCTAAATAATTTTTAATAATGAGATGTACTAAAATAAAATAAAATTATTATCTAATAAAAATGTATAATACTCACAATAATTTTCAATGCTTAATAATAAAAAAAATGATTTTTTTCATAACAAATCTACAACTTACAATTACGTTTAACTAACTATAACCGCCTAATCAAACCCTAATCTTCTCACAAACAATCTCCTTTCTATTAAAATCCATATTAACTCTTAATTAGTTGCAATACTGGAAGGATTATTAATTAACAAAAAATATTACGGTGGATTTGACGCAGGTCGAAGCTCAAGCAAATGGAGATAGACTGCGAGTTCCTGAAGCGTCGCTGCGAGATGCTGAGAGAGGAGAACAGCCGCCTCCATAAAGAAGTTACAGAGCTTCGTGCCATTAAGAGCTTCCACATTCAGGTCCCGCCCACTACACTCTCCATCTGCCCTTCCTGCGAGCGCGTCTCCCCTCCTGCTTCACCTCCACAGTCGCCGCCGACCCCTCGTTAGCCGCCGTCTTCGACGCCACTGACAGGCCGCCGGCCGGCCTTCTTTTTACTGCTTCTCGTTTTCCCGAAGCTCAAGTCGGCTGAACGTCGCTGCCTCGGCCGACACAATAGTCAGCCCTGGACCATTAGATAACTGTTATGGATTTGGCTTTTGACTATTTTGCAAAAAAACAAAAAACAGTTGTAAAGCATCTGCATTTTATTTAAGAATATTAGTTTCAGTGGTTTACGGTTAGTCATCGAATTTGTGGTTTCACATTCAATATTTTTTAAAATATTTTAATTAAAAAAAATATTTAAATGAATTTTATAATTTTATATCTATTTTGAGATTATTATAATACATAAATAATTTTTATTATATTAATCGTATAAAAACAAATCAAAGTACTTCGAAAACTCATTTTAATTTAAAATTTTATTAGATATATAAACATTATTTTTCGAAAAAAAAAAGTTATAATAATTTTATAAAATAAATTTTTTGAAATGACTTGTTTGGTTCTTAGAAGAAAATTGTTTCTTTTCTTTGGAATATAAGTAAGTCGAGGTGCTCAAAGGAGTTTGAAATGACATTCAATTCAAGTTATATATTAATTTAGAACTCTAAAAAGCTCCAAATTGTCCAAGAACATTTTCATGGAAACAAACTAATGACACTAAACTCATTTGATTTAGAAATATAAGACCTTAAATTAATATAGCCAATTTAATATTCATTCACCTAGCTGTAACGTTCAAACCTGGACCGGCCAATCCAAGATTCCACTCACGCGCACAAGACAAACTGTGTAAGACGAGCCCCTCTGCTTTTCACACCCAACGAACCCAGTTGATTGCACTCAATAGCCAACCTTTTGTGTCCTGATCACTTCTGTCTCTCCCTACAATCATAAAAATCATGAGATTCGCCAGTCTCATGCACATTGATTTTCCTACTCTCCCGCCTTCTCTTCTCAATTTAAGAAGGATTATTGGGGTTTAAGACATAGCTTATATCTCGATTTTCCCCTCTAGCAACCACCAAAACCTTGCTTATTTTCTTTCTTCTTCCTCTCCTGTCGACAACAACCAATAGCAAGCACTTTTTCAATAGTGAGTTCAAACTTTCCCCTTTTCTTCTCTCTTTTCTCCTTTCTTCCTCTTTGCTTCTAATATATAGAAATAGATGTTCTCTCTTTTTATTATTTATGTAAGATTTAATTAGTTTTGCCTTGATGTAACTTTTATGATGAATTTTAACTTGCTTTGGGAGGAGGACTTATTTAAGTTTGGTGTTCGATTTAATTAAACTTTATGTTATTTTATATCCTTTAGATTGAATTATTTTATGATTAATTTGGTATTTATGAAATGACTAAAATTGTTAAGATATTTACCCTTATGACTCAAAGTGTATGCTTAATATTATTTGATTTCACACCTGTAGGATTTTTTTTTTTTGTGAGGGTGTAAAATTTGTCATTTGAAATCTAGGTAATTATCTATTTAAAAGAGTAAATTTTAGTTAATTTAGTAGTTGGAAGTATTATTGGGTTGTTTAAAGCTTAGAATGCTTAAATATATATATGGATTGAAAAGTGAAATTCAAAAGTTTGTTTTTTTCTTCTACAAGCACGGTGGCGTTGGATTTGGCACTTTAGTGTTGTGCTCTCAAGAAAAGAGAGAAAATGATGTTTTGAGGGAGTGTTATGGCTACGTAGCGTTGTTGTTGTGCTTAGAGTGGAACCTAGGAAAGTTGGTGAGAATCCGAGAGAGTTTGGGAGTTTTGTTAGTAGTACTGTGGTGTTGGAGGTTGTAACGCCATGACATAGGTCGAATTAATGCTTTTTAAAATATTAATATCTAAAATCAACAATGTCAACGTTAACCCAAACACCCAGTTGCTTGTCGAGGAAGAAAGAAGAGGAGATGAAGGAAAAAGAAGGAGAAAAAAGAATATTCGAGGTCAAAAATCCAATTTTAGTCCATCCAATCAGTGAAGAGAATTGTCAGGCTCGAGATAGGTAACTCATATCCCATTTATGTTTTTAATTCTGATATGTATAAAGAAATATATATTTTTAAAAGTATTTTTCTTAAATTTTAAAAAGATGCTTTCATGTAAATTTCAGTATATTATTTTACTTTTCCATTATGGACAACTTGACTACAAAAATGTAAAATTTTACCGATGGGTCTGTTTAATATGAATTTTTTTATTATAAAAGATGGTTGCATTTATGAACTACAGTATTGTTAATAACCTATGTTATTTTAGCATTATACATAACTTCTATGAAATTGATATAGTAATGAGTATTTTATGTTGGCAAGTGAAATGTAAGGGCCGATTTTTCTATACAAGTTGACATATGTTGTATTTGCTTAGAAAGTTAATTTACATGCTACATTTGCATTCATGCATTTCATGATATTGATTTCTAAAATGAAAAGAAAAATACTCTGAAAAATCCCTCCTTAGACCCAAGGTGAAAAAGTTGTGTTTTGAAATACTTTGTTTTGGCTCTACATTGGAATTTTAATATGTTTTGGCTTTGCTTTGCTCTGCACCTGTCTTGAACAGATGGGAGGTGGAAGATTTGGGAGTTATAAGGGTGTCAATAAACATGTGTGCATTATACATTCATAAGTGCATTCATATATCTAAAAATTTATGTTAAACAATATTCTTACAATTTTATTATAATCTCTTTCAGTCTTATGCATTGAATTTGGTTACGGGAAGCATCGTTGACCTATTAATATATATACTTACTTCGTTGTTATATCATTTCAGGCAAAGGTAAAATTTCTGTTGAATAGATCCAATTTAATAGGAAGCAACATGTTAGATTTAGCATGTATTGATATATCATTTTACAGCCATATTATATTTATATATTTTGGAAGTATTAGAATATAGACTTTTATAAATGATATTTTGTAAAGTGAATATGTGGTTTACATTGTCTTAATATTTTTTTTATAGATTCTTGATGTCTAGTTAGCTCTGATATATAGAGGATGATAAATTTTGAAGTATAAGAAAGTAAGTTCAAAAATTTCTTTTAGATCTTAGGACATTATTGAGTGGTATCAAAGCAACAGTTGGAAGAATTGTATTAGAACCAGAGTCTTAGGAAATGATTTTTTAGTATAAAGTGGGCGATATTGAGTTATAAATATTGAATCCTACATGTTTAATTAAAAGTGGATGAATTCGATATTGAATTCCTTTTTATTTTGAAAAGTTGAAAGTATTACTATAAATAGGCCCTCAAGATTCTAAAGCAGCTGATGGGTAGAGCTCTAGAGCTGATATGGTCCATAACACAATACAAGCAGTAGCACCAAATACGAAGATGAAGTTTATTAGGATAATAGAATAATTGATGGGAGAAGCTCAAAGCAAGATGTTAGGTGTAAAAAGAAATGAGATAGATCATCATTTGTAGTTTTTTATGAGATTGAAATCTCCTCATTTCAAGGAGTTGTAGATCCTCAAGCTATAGAGGATTAGTTATTGAGATTGGAGAAATCATTTGAGGGGAGGTAGTGTCGTGAAGGTAGGAAGGTACCTTCGGAAGTGTTTCTTTTTTATGAAGAAGCTGAGCACTGGGGTAGGCTAGCATAGTGAGAAATTTCAGGATATGATGCATGCTGAGATTTTTTGGGAGGAGTTTGTGCAAAATTTTTAAGATTGATTTGTTGCATCCTCTGCACGCAGTAGGTGTAGGATCAGTTCTTGAGGCTAGTTCAAGGTAGTAAATCAATGATGCAGTATGAAGCTAAGTTTATAACTCTTGCTCGGTATAACCCTCAGTTAGTTAGTGCTCCAAAAGAGAAAGGTTATCATTTTCTGAGAGGATTGACGGACAGTTTGAGGCATCCAATAGTACACTTTCATATTTGAGACTATTCTGAATTAGTAGAGTGGGCTAGATTGGTAGAAAATAATTTTGCAACAACGCATAAGAGATAGGATTTAGAGGGGAGCCCTCCATCAGTGGAGTTAATGGAAAGCGGCCCAGATTTGATGTTAGTGGAGTGTCTAAGAAGGAAAGTTTTGTAGTTCTGCTAGTGTTGGTGAATCTATATCTATTAGTTATCAAGTGGGTTTTGTATTAGAAGGCACTTTAGTAGATGCTTCAGAAGTCATGTTCCCCTGATTTAGTCTCGGAAAAGTTTCCTACATCTATTATCATGCAAAAGATGGTACAAATTAGGCTTAAAAATTATATGAGAACTTTTCCCAACTAATTAAAGAATTCAATTTATCTTGAAATTTCTCCTTCTGCTGGCCCATCCACCGACCTCCCCATCTAACAGAAATATTGCTTATGGTACTTTTATCTCAGGATAGAGGTGGATCCACCAAGCCCAGTGCTTTACATAGGGTTTTTTTAAATAATAAATATCTAAAATTATTAAAGCCAACACAAAAAAAACCAGTTGCTTTCCGAGGAAGAAAGGCTTGGTAGAGAGAAATGAAAGATAAGGAAAATAAGAATATTTTAGGTTTAAAATCCAATTTTCGTTTGCTCAATCAGTTAGGAGAATATATTATATTGCCAGTTCTATTTTTTGCTTTTCTTTATTGGAATTGTGCCTGCTAGGAATCCTATTTATTTTTCATATTGAAAGTATCATGTAGTAGAAATAACATCCTTTTTTTACTTATTTTTACACAAGCTTTTATCGTTTAAAATAATTCAAGCAGTAGATAATCAAATTCATATATATCATTGTTGTTTAATGCAATAAATGATATTCCTATTATAAAACATGTTGGCTATACAATTTGTCATTTTTATGTTAATTTGAATAATACATGTTGGTTACTTATAAAAGCACTTGCATTGTATGATTGTGTGTATGTCGGTAAAACTCTATTGGATTTTGGCAAGCTGGACTGATGAGTCTTCGAAGTGACAACTTTATAAGAAATCTTGGATTTCCTTAGGTTTGAAACACCTTCCCAGTGATGGATAGTTGATAAACCGACTATAGTTATACGTTTAAATATATAATTGGACATGAACTAAAATAATAAATGAATAATCATAAGTCATGTTAAGGTATGATGATATCTAGTGTGATTGTATTTATAAGAATTAAAATGATATAACATTGATTGTAGTTTGGCATATACACTGATAGCTCTAGCATACTAGAATCTATCATAGGAAACATAACATGTGTCATTACTGATATGACGACTTTAGGTTACTATTTTTACCTTTTGGTTGTTCA